AAAAAAAAAAAAAAAAAAAAAAAAAAAATCAAAATAGGTCTCAGTTACCTGTTTAGTCATGCTTTCTCTCTTGCGCCAGAACCACCACCTTCCAGACTTCTTTGGCATCTTTTCTTTGACCCAAGACTCAACAGTAGCCTGAAAAATTAGGCATGTTTTTAATTTATATAGAAAAACAAAATAACAAGAGATAATCACGTGTTAGTACATATAAAATCTTCAAGAAAAAAAGTATACATGTATCTATTTACCTTAGGCAAACTCTTCTGAAACACCTGCAAACTCAGAATCATTGGAGCAGCCAACGCCCAGTTATAATACCTGTTTTAAAACATGTTATTGATAAGATATTACAAAACCTGACTAGAGGTCAATAAATATCAGCGTGCAAACTGCTCTTTTGTTCATGAAAATATTTATTTGCTGCTAACAACTAATATTAATGTTTTCTGAAAGTAGAGTTATTTTAATATATATAATTCAACATTAGTGGTAATTGCTGAAAAAAAAAAGTCACTTCAGTTAAAGCTAAATTTAATGCAAATCTTCAGTTCAAAATCATTCTCTTTGAGACTCAGAAACAGAGCCATCAAAACCACAAATTGCAATGGAAAGCTGAGAAATGCACACACTTTAAAGGGTAGATTTTAGGTGAGATCTTCTATGATGTAACTACACGCTATAGAGAACTTACCTGTTATAAATCCTTATTACCAAATTAGGATTGTCTATGAGTCCAGGGTTTTCAGCAAATTCATGGTAAGTAATAATATGTTCCATGAATTTTTCTGCAATAGAAAAAGACTTTAATTAAAAATAATAATATAAAAATCCCAAAATGTCTGATTAGCTTGTATCTAGGAAAATGCTTTCTGTCATTTCAGAGCATTTGCTGATCTTGCAACATCACTCGAGATATGCTAATACAGCCTACCTGTCAAGAGTCTTGCGACTGCCTCCTCAGTAACAGGGAAAGCCTCATACCACTTCAACAGTCACAGTAATGAGAATTAAGAAATTAGGAGAGGGAGGATAAGGAGGAGGTAGGAATTAATTCAGTTTGCAGGCTGGAAAGAGAGAGCCATGCTTGTCTAAGCAAGTTTTTCTTTAAAGAATTGTTATGGCAGGTAAGGGGGCCTAGATACTACACTAAAAGGGGAGAGGGAAGGATGTTGTCAGCTTTTCAGGATTGTTTAATCACTGACTAGTAATAGCATTTTCATGACTAGTGACTATACACGTTTGCAGAAATTCATGATTTCGTGTAAGACCCCTCCAAGGAAGACATAATTTTTTAAAATCAAATCCACTATTACTACCATGTTACCAAGAGAGCTGTTCTGAGCCTTTATTAATAAGCACTTAAATTTCACTTGTTGCATTAGAGACCATTAAAAAAGTAATACTAAAAACAATGCAGCACACGTTCATGAAGATTATGCGCTCCTAGAAGCTACCTCAAAAATGCATACAAATTCAATATTAAAATTAACCAGAGCATTATGAGAGAAGAATCAGCTGGTAATAATCTAAAGGTTAACAAACATTTAGGATAAGAAAAGCAGAGCAGGAGAAAAGATAGTCCAACACAATAGTCAAAGTTTTTTTAATCACTTAAAAAAAAAAAATAAAAAAGAAAAAAATTATCAGGCAATTAGAAAGAATGTGAACGGTGAAGATTTATATACGACTAAGCAAGTAACTGCAGTCAGAAACAAGAATGGCTGGTCAGATACGCAACATGTAGTGCAAAAAAGGAGACAGAAAGGTTCAAGACATCAAGTGGTCTTGACTAATGTAAGGTTAAATTCTGCTCTCTCTTCTTGGCAAATGCTTAAGAATTTCAGAAAATGAAAGATTATCCATTCCCTTTTCTCAACATGAGCATAATAATGTCAAAGCTTTGCAAGGTGAAAATCAGAGCATTCAAGCCACTTCACTTGTTTAGCTGCCTGAGCCTTATTACTGTTTACGTTTGAGTCTTTCACATACCTTTAGAAATCTCTCCATTTTCATTGAGACCTCCACAAAGTGAAAGTGTAACATCAGGCAAGTCCATAGCAGAATCCGACATGCACTCTGTACCACTATCAGCAGCAGCACTACCTACTGACTGGGGTGACTGGGAACCGGAGAGGGTATCGGACTCTGTCCACTGCCTGAAGCCTGGATCTGAATCACTACAGAAAAGAAGTCCACATTTTCCATAAGTATTTCACTTGCACAAAAATTTATAGATTTTAGGTCACAGAACACACTATATGATTACTGAGAAAAAAAAAAAATCACCTTGCTGTTGCATTTCTTTCAATTACTACATCATTTTACAATATAAATTTAAAATCAAACAAACAAAAAGCCAGACACAAACACCACCCCATCCCCCTCAACCTTTAACAATACTGGCAGACTGACATTTTCCAGTTCTCCTTACATTCACCTCCTTGCATTTCTCTTGCCTGCAACAAAATTGGATTTAAATGAGAAAAAGATCCTCTACGTTCTATTTTTGCAGAGCAATACAATGCTCCTCAATCTCTACTGCAAAGCTGTAGAATAAAAATGAAAGGAAAAAGGACACTGCTTGTTGTTTTTAGAACACTCTGTGTTTGGAAAAAGTACAATAGAAAAGAAAAGTGGCCTTTTAAATAAAAAATATTACATTGCTATCTAAGGTTAGAGTTATTAGTTTGATCCCAAGTAATGTTAATCAGTAAGTTCTGGAAAGTTTACGACTTTAGTTTTAACATAAACCAATAGGCACTTCTTCCTTATTAAGCTGTATTTTTACAAAGGTCTTCCTAGATAGTTATTTAGAGTATAAAATGCTTTGATTTCATAAAAAAACAAACAAGAGTGAATTTTGAGACTGAGCTGCCTTGCATGAGATCTTGTGGGATTTTTTTTGTTGGGTCTTTTTTGATATTAAAAAAAAAAAGTTGGAAGGGATGTACAGGGAATGGAAAAAACAGAAACGTGCTTATATAGAGCTAGCAATATGGCTAAATAGAGTACCGGTGCAAAAGGAGTGTGCAGTTTAAACTTAGCCCCCCTCTATATTTGCAGAACATACAGGTTCTGCAAAGGTGAAAACTCTCAGTAATGACCTGGCCACATGATCTTTCAACATGCTTCTTTTCAAATCAGGAATAGATTTTCACAATGAGATCAGTACCGATTACTCCACAACAGCCTAGAAACCTGAAGACCACTTCTTTTTATCAGAACTGGTGCATAAACACCTAAATCATATATGTAATAACTCACATAGTGCAACTGCAATATAACCCTAGATCCATTGAACCTTTATTCAAAATTACCTTTTGGGAAAGTAGAGTGCTGCAACTTCAGGTTCCAAAGCCTTTAGGTCCTCCAAGTAAATATCGTCAGGCCCCTGATGATGACTTCTCTTGTGCACCCCTGTTAATTTTAACAATTAAGATTACTAAGATGAAGCTATCCACACACATTAAATACAAACGTAATTGTGGAAGATTCACACTTACTTGTAGCATTTATAAATCCAAGAGTTTAATTATAGTTTTAGTCAGATGTGCCTTTTCAATTTTTCCTATTTAAAGTCTTATTTATACTTTTTCCACTATGGCCTCAAATTTGGTAGATCACACTGAAGGAAAGAATCAACAGCTTTATTACATACCTTTCTTTTTTGAAGGAGAATCAATTTTTGCTGTTGGCTTTGTTTCTGGTAAAGGGTCCACCAACAGTCTGGAATGATGATCAGCATCTAACGGCAATGGATCTTGTGGTTCTGTGATTACAGAAGCAAGAGAATCTTTGACATCCATCTGCTTAAGCAGAGGATGAGTTCTTGGCTCAGGTTTCAGTACTGTACAGACAGAATCTTTCACATCATCATCATCTTCAACTTCATCAGAGCTGAGGATGACCCTAAAATGAGTCTTCTCTGATGGAGTGATGGTAGCTGTTCTGGGATGTTCCAGTTTCTCTTTCTTGCTTATCTGAAAAAACAAAACTCTAGTCAATCCTTTCACTTCACATGCTTGTTTTATTCTGGTCTAAACATTAAACGTGTACTCATGGTACAAGTCCTGGCCACAAGTAAACCGAGTAAGAATTTAAACGTGTATCTTAGCAACATAAAACCTGCCCCACCTTATTAGCAAAGCTCCCTGCAACAGAAGCTTCATACTAGCTTATTTACAAGTTCAGCAGAGAAACTGGCATGGAGCAAGTGCTGACTTGACCAAACCATGGCAACAAAAAAGCATAAATGCGGACGTATCAGGGCTTCTGTCACCATCTGTCCTGTTAGATACCAAATTTACTCTATCAAGGCTACAATTCCTGTGGAATGAACTAGAACTTAGCCTAAAATACAGGAAATTAATTTCTAAAGTTGTTTTCTTCAGTTTCTAACTAAAAATTGAAACATTTCAGACTTCCACTGCTAGGTTTTCCCGAATTACTTTGCTGACCAGCTTTGGGACGCCACAAGTTCGGCTGCCTGCCAGCCACAAGGGGGCGCTACTCTCCTACGGCAGGCGAATACGTCCGGGGGACGCTCCTCCGGCAGCCGAGTCGCTCCGAGGAGCGGGAGCGTCGTCGCGGGTCACCCCGCGGACAGCACCCACCTTCAGAGCGGCCGCCCCTCACCGCACGGGGTCAGGGACAACGAGGCCATTTACCTTGGTTGATTCTGGGAATCCTCCCCACGTCCATTCCATGTGAGACTCAGATCTGAGCAAGCTCTCGGCAGGCTTAACTTCTAGTTCTGAATCACTTTTAGGGCAGACTGGCTCAGAGAAAGGGCTAGCAAATCAACAAGAAGGAAAAAAAAGAAAAAAAAAGAAAAAAGAAAAAGCTACAGTGTTTAAAATGCATTTGTTGTGCAGCTACTGTTGGTAGAGTTCTCTACAGCTCAACAGAGCTTCAATTATTCAGCAACGTGGCAAGAAGCCCAGCAGGGTTTTCAGACAGTGAGAAATTAGGTTAAAACCAAAATCACATTAAAGGACTTACATAGCAATCACCCCAAACAGATTCCTCCGCTATATCTGCAGTGTAGGTATAGCTCTCCCCTCAGCCCATATTCCATTTTTCAAACAAACCAGAACAAAACAAAAAAAGTTTATCTAAAAGTACAACAGAAATTACCTTTAAGTCCCTTTCCTCTGTAAAAACACAGCATTAAGCTTGCTGTGCCAAGACTGGAGTAATAAAAGTCCTGCATACCTAACTCACAAACGCACGAAACACCACCAAGTCCCGATGCGGGGAAAACAACAGTAACAAGATAACTTAGGAGCGGGAAGGGAGATTACTCAAAAACTTCCTTCAGATGTGTCTGGACTACGTGATCTTTTAAAATCCATCCTATTTTTCCGACAGTGGTTATTAGCCACAAATCAGAAACAGACCTCTGAAATTTACTTTAGCCAAGACCACTTTCAAGCCAGAACTCCTCACTCTACAAAATGCCAGAAAGGTGTGATTTCGAAATCATCTTGCTCTTACGATCTTCAGGAGGAAAGGAAACACAAGAAGTCGTTTTGAAGGAGCATTTAGTGTTGGGACAGGTCTGTCTATCCTTTCTTGAGCAGGGTAACTATATTGTATATTATAAAAACGCTGCTCTTTCTACACTTTGACACTCATAGCATGTTTTGGTTTGTGTTTTGGGGGGTTTTTTGGTTTGTCTTTTTTTGTTTTGTTTTGGGTTTTTAAAAATATATATATAAACCTCAGTATTTGAATTTGAATTGTAGGGACCAGAACTGGACACAGCACTCCAGGTGCGGCTTGGCCAGCACTAAGTAGAGAGGGATGAGCACATCTCCATCTCTGCTCGTAATGTCCCTGGGGACGCAGCCCAGCATCCGATTTGCCTTTGTTGCTGCAGCGGTGCTCTGCTGACCCACGTTCAGCTTCTCGTCCACCAGCACCCCCAGGTCCCTTTCGGCAAGGCTGCTGCCCAGCCACACGGATCCCCGCCTGTAATCGGCTCCTGGGTTACGTCGTGCCACGTACAGGACTTTGCGCTTGACTTTGAATTTGTTGCACCAGGAGAGGTTTCAACTTAAGAAATTTTTTACAGTGAAAATAATCATTCACTGCAACAACCTTCCCAGGAAAGCGGTCTCCATCACAGGAGGTTTTCAGTTTGTGACTGATCAGGGTGCTAGTTAATCTCACCCAGTCTCCCCTTCCCATGAAAGGCTGGACCAGATGACATTGCGAGGTCTGTCCCAACTTGGGCTGTTCTATGATTTAATACTGAAAATTTTACAGTAACTCCTACAGGTATTTCATTTTTTTTTTTTCCTCCTTTCAGAATTCCTGCAAGAATTAGTTATCTAATGCAGTATCATATCTGAACCTTTCTGGAGGTTTGTGGAGCCAGGGTTTTGCAAGATCGTACAAGACTAAACTGATCACAAGTCAGACTATAAAAATGGACAGTACACAGATCGGGTCACAATCCAGACAGTAAGAATCCCTCATATTACTCTGAGGGACACCACAAAATCCAAGATAGAAGGACATTTAAACATGTCTACAGCGGTGATCCATCATCCAACTGTCGACTTCCAGCCTTCATCACCCAGGGACACAAAAAGGAAACCAACCAGAGATTTCCCCCCTCAGTTCTCCTTTAACAATTTCCTACAGAAATTACATTTTCCATACTGTTAGAAGGGCTTATTTAAAGTAACACACTGATGAAAATATTTGTTTTCAGGAAGAATATGAACTAATCTTCCCTGTGTGCTAAATAATTTGTTCTGCCTGTATCACCAGTCAACTGGAAGCCATGCAGACGTATTAACCTGCTTCTAAGCCTAATTCCTAATATTCAGCAGTACCTGCAAAAGATTGAATACTTCAGGGCTTTGAGAACCTAAGTCTCTTCCACTTCCCCCAAAGCAAAAGTTTTCCATTATCATTCTTAGGGAGAAGTCTCCAGTCAAAATGCCCAAGCTTGTAATAGTGATCTAGTCATGCAAACACTGCTTGTTAAAACCAGAAGAACATGAATGGTATCAGGTATCAAATAGTTAATGGTTATGTTTTTTGGTTTTATTCGAGTGAGTAGGACAAACAGAAGTATCCTCATTGAGAAGACTTAAGCTATTATCTTCCTTTAGCTCCCTGCAAGGGTTCTGAGGAGCAAGACAACCAACTTCAACTAAAAGTCAGTTAGCTTCTCCAGATCTCCAAAAAGCAGGTTATTAAACCCTCCCATTTCTCTTTCACTGTACGACAGCTACATTATAAAATCTTTCTTTAGTGGCTTAGGAAAAATAATTTCATGCAAAATTTCTCTTCTCCTAGGTGGCTCATGCGCGAGACAATCTCCTACCCAACCCCCCTCCCCAAAGAGGGAAAGGAAAATTGCCTATTTCCCTGTTACACTGCAATCTGTACTGGATAGCTTGTTAAAAAAAAAACCTAAACTATGAAAAGCCTAAGTATGGCACAGGATGCAGAAACAAGTTGTTAGAGCAGACTATCCCCTAAATACGTAAACAAGAAGAGAGGCATGAATCATATCTCCCAGGCATAGCCTGCTAGTCTATGTTAGCCAGAGTTTTATAAACTGAAAAGGAGTATCAGCCTCCATGCTACAACTACGTAGGTGATACAATCCATACAACACCGTGTCAATCCTCAGGGTCAAACACTGTGACTGCTTTTCAGTCGCAAACCACAAACCTTCAGGGAACATTTGAAGACCACATCTCATCAAGTACAACTGAGGATGCGGTTGTCAGCCCAAAACATAAAAAGGAATGATAAAGGGATTTCCCATCCAACCACTTCTGTTCATTAACAAGCTATGCACTGGGGGAATTAGCAGGCATCAAGCATGGTGTAGTACATTCAGACTCTACTGGGGCCACAGCCCTGGAAACACCCAAAGCAGAGAGATTATATGCACTTCAAGAAGTATTTCCTGAAGCTTTCTCTCTTCTATTCTGCACTGCCATCTATTGATACAGAAAAACAGGCATTGGTGCACTGAGCAACTAACGTGCAACAACAGCTATCGCACAAGGCTGACCAGTTATCCCCACTGACACTGTGAACGTATCTGCTGTGAGGCAGATTCCTCAGACAAACTGAAAAGCATTAAAACTAGACACTCACCAAAGAGTTAAGATGAATCGAGATACTGCTCAGCATGCTATGTGCTATATATATGCCCTTCCCTATGTCCAACGTTCAGGAAAAGTACAAAATTTACCTCAAGTACCACCGCATATGGACAGAATGCTTTCTTATGCAAATAGAGATATTGGTGTTAGAGTGGTGAAATTCAAAGGGTGAGCCTTGAAAAATCTAGAAACTGAATGCAAGAGGAATATAATAGCATGAACATCAGAAACCGAAGAGCTTGACTGTATAAAGAGAAGTGCCCTATTCACTGTAACTGAAAATTGACTGGCAAGCTGTAGCACACCATCTGTGAGAATCCACAACCAACTGGTACTGTTTCTGGTATCTCTGGCTAACCAGAGATCCCAGAATTCCAGCAACCAGCAAATCCTCTGTTCTGAAGTGGAATATGATTCAAGTTTAGGACCCAGCTTTACCTCGAGTAATCGGCATTACTTCATCTGGCAAAGTCTAACTTACATACTCAACACTTCTGCTTTATAGCACATCAAGTGTTGCTTATGCTAGGGTGAATCATAGAGAATAGACTTGTTTTCCATACCCTTCTCAATCTAAGCAGGGAATATACTTGTTTTCCATACCCTTCTCAATCTAAGGAAATCTTATTAATTGTATTTTCTTTCTTTAATAGTGAATTTTAATAAGAAAATTTTTTTTTCATTGTGGGAGGGAAAAAAAAAAAGACACAAATTTTGTTTAATACATACAGTAGAGAGGACTTTTTCTTTAATAGTGAATTTTAATAAGAAAGTTTTTTTTTCACTGGGGGGAGGGAAAAAAAAAAAGACACTAATTTTGTTTAATACATACAGTAGAGAGGAAAGTTCCCAAAGTTCCAAGTAAGTATCAAATGCTGCATTTGATATCAAAAAAGTTACGCATGTCTGATAGTTTTACAGATCAGGGGGAAAAATTAACAAAAAGGCACATTCATTTTTTTAAAATAATTATTCATCATTATACATATGATGACATTACAAAGTGACTTACTTCTCCAGAGGGGACCAGTCTCCATCAGATAAGGGGTAATGATCCTTTGAGTGATAAATCAAAGATTCTTTTTGTTCTTCACCCTTTGGTGATGAATTTGAGGATCCTCTGTGGAGAAAAATGAGACATTAAGTCAGCTATAAGAAATCTGCATTACTAATTCAGTTAGAAAAGTTACTCATCATGTTATTAAAAATCCAAGATCAAAGAAAGGAGCGTATACCTTAAAGAATTCCTTGTTTGCAGCACACCTTAATAATAGTTTTTATATACATTTTAAGTTATATAAATACTTGAAAATATTGCAAGTTTAAAAATCTACTGCTCTTGACACATAGTAAGTTAATATCGAAGAAGTCACAATACCATAAATGGTATTACTCTATACAGCCAGCTAATACTACCAAAACCCAAAGATGAACGTACAGATTTAACATAATCTTTACTATGTAAATCTTAGAATCACTGGAAAAGTTAAATAGAAAAGGTAGTTTTGACAATGCACTTTACAACCGCACATTTCACAAATTAAAACCAGTAAGAAAACAGGGGTAGGTACTAGCTTCACAATTTACCCAGGAGTTTACAAATTAACACAAACTACAACAAGCAGCTAGAAGTACTGTACTGTTCTGAACAGTGGGTTTGTTTTGCACTGGGAAGTCTACTGAGTATCTATAACAAAAAACCCCCAATAAACAGTAAGACCCATTGAGCAGGCATGCACTGCATTTTACACAGAAGTCACTTTTAAATATTGCCATCATAAGTACTTCAGATCTTTTTACAGCTTTCTGATTTTAATTGAATAAATAGCTATTCTCAGGATACAACGAACTTGTTTTGAGGTTAGATCAAGGGCATCATGGCCATACAGTGGAGAGAATACAAGGAAAATAAGCCTGGAATTTGAGTGTAAAATGCAATACAAATTAGTTTTAAGCCATTATTATGAAAGAAAAAAAGTATTTTTCTTCCATTACCGACACAGTTTCACTGGACTTGTTTTGGAATGCTAACACTAATTTCTCTTATGGGCGGAGAAAAGATTTTAACATTATCTATTAAAATACATAAATATTTGGAATTTACACACTTACTCAATACAGCCCATTAGACCCTCAGTAGTTACAGTGACCCACCTCATTTTCACAAGTCTTTCATTTGGAAGACAGACCAGACTGTGTTAAATACAGAACTCTAAAAATGTCTTAATAGCTCCCCTTCTTATTCAGTAGTTGTATTCTTATGAAATTTGATGATGACAGCTTGACTCGAGATGAGAGCTGCAGAGACTGTACATCCTTTGTATTCATAAACTAAGCTAACTGTGATAGAAATGTGTTTCATACTACCTTTGTATGCAGTGCTAAGTATCTCCAAAAGGGGGGAAAGGTATTAATGAACAAGTAAACACACTGAAAAATGGTTACAGAGAGGTCCTCAATATTATGAGTTCAGAGGGGGGCAAGATGACACACACAGGTGGTACTGGACAGATTTTATTCACTGGGAATTAGCAACCAAATGAGTTCATATGAAGCATCAAAAAAAAAAAGAAAAATCAAATTTCATCTCTAAGTGGATAAATCTGGAGGTTAAAAATCCAAATGCAGTCAAAGATTATTGAAATAAGAGGGGAAAAATCGGTATGCATCAACTTATAACTTCGAGTTGCACTATCAATTCTAAGTTATTTATTTTACAACATTTATAAATGCTACCACTTCTCATCCTTATCGACGTTATACATGGTCTAAATAAATATATAAGATTCAAGAGACAGATACCTACTTTAACTCTTTAACACCTTTAGCACTGGAGAAGTAACACCCTCTATTTCTGAGTTGTACACACTGTAATCTCAGTCCTCCGGATATTATTTTCGGTAAGTCAAGCACTACTAACTTATCTAAATCACAGCTAGATAAGACAAAGGACCTTTTTTTTAAAGTTGCATAAACACTTGTAAATTCATTTTCCCAAGGAACAGGAAACGGTTTGTTATCCACTTTGTAAGAATAGAACGAGGTAAGACATTTCGTACTGGTACCTGCGGCTGAATTTTTGACCTTCCTGTTGGAACATCAACCTCCCTTTTCCTTTCCCAGTTTCATTTTGAAATCTGAAACTATGTCTAATAACAGTTAGTTAAGTTTCTACTTCTTTTTTTTTTTCTCTCCTTTTTCAGAGTCACACATTTATAACTAAAAAAAAAAGAAAAAAACAAAAACACCCCACCAAACCAAAACTAAACAAACCCGCTGATATCACCTTACATCCCCACAGGATGTGAAAAAAAAGCTTATGGCCATTTTTTCACAACTGTATCTTTAGCTGGGAAGAAAACAGCATATGCCTATTGCAAGGCATTTTATTTCCTGCCTTGGTAGCCACTGGAATGACTGTCTATGAACTCCACTGACAGATACACAGCAGCAAATCTACTGTCTCTGGCCTTCTGTTACCACAATGTATTTTTTCAGTCCTGCATTTACGTGCTATTCACAAGAAAACAGCATTCTTTTACAAAATCTTCCTTCAACATTGTAACGCTACTCTTTGACTGTGAATGCATTTCTACTGTTGTTTCTGTTTATATATATGTAAAAAAATATGGTTTACAAATAAAAAGCCTGTTCAATCCTTCATTCTAAAAGGTACAATAAATAAAACCAGAGTAATCTTTATGGAAACATCATAGTCTGTTCAGCTATGACTAAACATTTGACATTTCAGTCAAATCTACAATTTTTTATTCATCTCTAGTCAAATTAAGATAATTGCTAGAACAGCAATTTGAATTTTAAACACTGGATGAAAACAGCCATTATTGGCATGACATTCCTAAATTCTTCATACATTCGTAATAATGTATTAAAGAATAAACAATTCATGGGTTATATTTTCTTTCTGTCTGTACTTGATGGTTATTTTTATTTTTGATGGTTTCACTATGACAAGTTATTGCTGTCTTAATACTCTCACACTGAAGACTGAACAATGATCTTGCTTTTCTTTACCTGGAAAAAAACAGGAAAAACCTCAAACCAAACAAAATGCCAATTCCCAGACTTAAACAGAGCAGTGAATATCTAAATGACAATTCATTGACATAAATATGACAGTGAAAGAATAAGGTAAATAAACTAAGAAAGTCACAGACACTCCAGAAAACACTTTAAAATCCAAATTTTGTTTGTTGTGTTTTACTGATCATATATATGCTTGATAGCTTTCTTCTCTTACTATAATCTTTCCTATTACTCATGTAAGCTTCTTCAGCTTATTAGTATGTGCTACCACTTTACTGCAAGCTCCACTTTACTAATAGTTTAACCACTTCAAAATACAGGACTGATTATTTTTTTTCCCCTCCTTCATGACTACACACACGTAAAGAATTCTCTGCACTAGTGTGAAGGATTCATTTATGCAGTTTCAGTTACCAAAGTAAACTTCCAAAGTTACACAGAAGTCAAATTCAGATGTGGTGTACTACAGGCATTCCACGCTGCGCTTTACGTAGAGGTTACCAAACACACCAGATGACCAGTCTGCCTCAGAGAAATGGCACTGAAACTTTTTATCAGTCACACAACAGATCATGACAACATTTCTTTACCAGAATGGGCTTAATTGGATTTTCATGTTCATAACAAAATAGCCAAACTTGCAGGATTCTGTAAAGATGTGGAAGATAATGGTTTGGAGTTCTGTTTGTTTCTTTGAGGAAAAGCCTATACCCAGAGCCTATTGAAACTTACGCATTACTTGCATAGAAGAAAGGTACAAGTCACTTATTAAATGTTCAGTGATAACAGTGAAAGCAGTCAGCAAGTATCTGATAGTTTACCTTAGGGGCTGAACACTTTTTTCATCATCTGAGCTTATTTCCATTTCAAAAATCTCTTCCGTCCCAGTAGAAGAGATCTGATCTTCTTTCCTGCTATCTTGTTTGTATTTCTTTCTTCTTCTTTTTTTCTTTTTCACAGAACCTGGGGTGAATACAGTCTCTGTTTCCACAGAGTGTGGAATTTCTGAGTTTGCACATGTCCTCTCATTTTCACCTGATTTCAAATGATTGTCAGTGTCTTTAAAAAACTGGTCTTCAGTGGGTATTGGAGATGTTGCCAAATACGCAGGAACTTTTTCCTAAGCAAAAAAAAGAAAATAAAGAACAGACTATTTTATTTTACTTCGGACAAGAGGAAACGGTCTCAAGTTGTGCCAGGGGAGGTTCAGGTTGGATATTAGGAAGAACTTCTTCACTGTAAGAGTCATTAAGCATTGGAACAGGCTCCCCAGGGAGGTGGTGGGGTCACCATCCCTGGAATTGTTCAAAAAACATTTAGATGTGGCACTTCGAGACATGGTTTAGTGGGTTTTGTGGGCATGGTGATGTTTGGTATATGGTTGGACTTGATGATCTTTAAGGTCTCTTCCAACCATAACGATTCTATGATTCTACTTTGTTTTGTGCATACAGGATACTTGTTGGCTATAGATTAGTCCTTGCATCTATATTTAGACATGAAACCATACAATAGCCCAGTGGCATGAAGTTGCTATCCAGAAAACAACAAAGTTTACTACAGGGATTACAAAAAGGTTAGAAAAATGAATGTTAGTATTCTTACAGTTTCAGACATAAACAATTGATTTTGCTAGCAAAACAAATACCCAGTCAGTGGAATGTTTTTGAAATTATCTGCCCTTGCGCACACCAGTTCTAACCATGCTTAGTAAATGTGTTAATAAAAATAAGCTAATTACATCCACTGCTGTCTATTTTGAAACAGATTCATGGAAAGGTGTAGGTTGGAAGGGATATCAGGAGATCCTCCAGTCCAATCTTCTGTCGAAAGCAGGCCCTCAGGTTAGGTTACCCAGAGCCTTGTCAAGCCAAAGGCTGAGTATTTCCAGTGAGGGAAAATCTGCCACTTCTCTAGGCAACCTATTCCTGTATTACATTGTTCTCATAGTAAAGGATTTTTCTTATACCTGGCTGGAATTTCCCCCTTATGCACTTTCCTTCTTGTCTTACCATCAGGCATCCTTGTGAAGAGAGTGCCTCCGTCTGCTTTGTAACTACCTCGCAGGTACTGCAAGACTGTGGTTAGATCCCCCTGAGCCTTCCCTTCTCTAGGCTGAACACAGCCAGTTCCAGCAACCTTTCTTCCGATGTCAACTTCTCCAATCCTCTGGATCATCTTGGTGGCTCTCCACTGGACTCTCTCCAATTTTCCATGTCTCTCCTGAACTCGGGAGACCAGAACTTGGCAGACCAGAACAGTCTTCCAGGTTTGGCCTAACATATACTAGCTTGAGTGGGACAGTCCCACATCCCTCCGTCTGCTGGCTGTACTCCTGCTGATGCAGCCTAGGACATGTTTGCCTTCATTGCTGCCAGGGCACACTGCTGGCCTTTACAGCAGAGATACATTTCATCCAGTCAGACCCCAGCCTGTGCTGGGATGGGATTCTTCCAACTCAGATGCAAGACTTCACATGTATCTTGGTTAAACCTTGTGCAAATCTTGACGGTTCCAGCCTGCCAAGTTGGCTCTGTGTGGTGGCTTGTTTTCTGGCCTGACTACCCCTCCTTCCAGTTCAGCGTCACCCACAAAACTGGTGAAGGTGCATTCAGTCTTGTCATCCATGTCAGACACTATTTATATAAAGTATCTTTCAAAAAGAAAAACTCAACTATAATTTACTTGCCTTAAAACCAACAACCAACCAACCCTCATTTAATTACAACTCACTACCCTTTGAAGGAACAATTCAAATGAAGGAAAAGCTTTACCAATGGACTGCCTGGGGTTTATTTACATCATAACAAGAAACTTAAAAGATACCTACACCTAGGCTGAAAGAAACACACTGTCAAGGGACAGAGTGGAACAAAAGTAGAAGAGAATGGAATTTGCATAGTGAGGAGAAAGAGAAAAAATTATGGAGCTCAATTTCATAGTAGAATAGAACTAATTACAAGATGCCTGTTCTTTTACAGGACTGTTAGGCAGAAGATTAGTCAGGAACCACACTGTGATCAGAAACAGCCAGAACACTGATACTACTCTTAATGTGTTCGAAGTCTAAACCACTATTATTAAAGTTCAAATTTTCTACTGAGTTAAGAGTTATAGACCAAGTTTTGTTCCACTCATTGTAAAGGAGAGAGAAGTGGAGAAGGGAGAACAAAATATAGCCTTATAATGACACACAGATTTTGTATTGTGAAAAACCTCCAAATAAAATGATAGCAACCTAAAATAAAGTTAATATTCTATGCAATCAGTGATAAATAATCCAGAATAACAAGACAAAACTTAAAAAACAGAGGAAAAGTTAAAAGAAAACTGGCTGAAAGACGATGCCTGAAAGTTACATTAGAATAGTTCTGATTCACGTGAATTGAGGCATGTGGTGTTACTTCTGAACGTCAAGGTGTGAAAACAACAAAGACTGACCACTTGAAAAGACCTTTCTGAATCCATTGAGAACTTGATGAGAACTTTAGCGTCTGTACCTTAAGCATAGCTCCAAGAGGTGACCACAAGGATATGTTAATCAGTAGCAGAAATACTGAGGGGGAAAAAAAAAAGTCTAAAAGCACTAAAAACCAACTGAGTCTGTAGCTAACTTGATCTATAGCTTCAGCATGAACTACCAGCTCTCCAGAACACATCATACACAGACAAGGCACTCTTGTTATAAATTAACATACACTAAGCAAGTGCAATAGATCCTTTAAAACATTGTACTGGAAACAAAGGTAGTGGTTATCACCCTTGCTTTCTGAAAGTCTTAAGACTGATCAGTTCCCATCAATGGCTGACACAGCTTACATATATAAAAAACTGCTTTCAGTTTTGATTTTAATGATGGTGTATGCTAAACCAGAACTCAATCTTCTTTTCTCTTAAATGTTATGAATCCTTACTCCCAGTTATCATTTAGGCTCTTAATGCCTATTTTCTATTTCCACTTTAAATGATATCTCACTCCTTTCAAAATGAGACTTTCCTTTGATCCCTCACAGTAAACAAGTAGTGCCCTGAACTAAAAAGCTCATTTCCTTGAAAGACTCCGATTCCAAATAACAACAGGAAGCTAACACTTCATCTTTTACTTCACTGAGACAAATATTTTTTTCCTCTTTCCTCTAACTGACTGTTTTTACCAAACCTTTTGGAACTTTGTATTTAGAGCTTCTTTCCTTCTGACTTGCCAACAGATTCAAAACTGATCAAAACCAAAGCTCAGGACTGACAAATACTGTGATTACATAGGTCCCATATCCTTAGGAAATCAGACTGAAAATGAACCATTATTCTTATTTTTCAGAGGCTCATTACCTTCCAGCTGCAATAAGTTCCTGGGAAATTAATTACTGTATTAGAATACAAGAAGAATTCTCAAGTTGAAGAAGTTACTGTTAACTGGTGAAAGTTTCATAGATAAAATTGTGGAAAACTGTGCTAAAATTATAAGGCAAATTAAAAATATGCCAAAATAGACAATCTTTATTAGTACAGATGTCAGTAGCACAAGCTATAAGAACTTCAGGCAAAAATTATTATAAGGCACTGCAATCTGTATAACTGCAGTCAACAAGAATGAATATACTAAAACAAAGGGAAAAAATATTCAACAAGTCTTTCAAATAAAAAAGTAACTAATTCTTTTTTCTTTTTCTTTTTTTTTTTTTTTAAATTACAGCATTATGTCTGTTAGCAGAATTGTACAAAGCACCAAGCATCCTGGCAGCATATGAAAGTGATGTTAAGATTCAATCCCAGAAAATCTAGCTTTCATAAAAGTTAAATATTGACAACACTATATTAAGCATTTTTAACACATTACTCTGTTAATACTGCATTGTAGCCATCATGAAGCACAAAAGCCCTTACATTTTCTTCCTCGGTTTCTTGTACAAAGAAAGCTTCTCCATTGTCACCAAGTTTCATATGAAGATCAACAGCATCACCATTAATTTCTATATCAATCTGCAGAAAGAGATAATTTAATGTAAATAATTCATCATAGGGGAAAGCACTAACCTCAAGGCCCACTTCGCTCTGAGAATAAGCTTTGTTCCATTGTATAAGCATGTCTCTTTCTCCTCCCTCTGCTTTTTGAAAGAAGTCTGTTATAATAATGGTCTTTATTTTGTTAACCTGCAAAATACATCATGCTCCTAGCAGAGAGCCTAAAACCTACAAGAAAAATCAGTAAAAAATAAAAAACATTTCAAGACTGAATCTTCTTCAACTAATTTCGAGAGTTAGTAGTGTAAATAATAACCATTGATCTAGTCTTTATTTCCTGGAAGAACGATTGAGACTGTTCATATGTTTAAAGCTCAGCCTGAACTGGGGCCTGGTATGAATCTGAGTCCTGAATACCAAAAGTTCAAGATGACACACTGAAAGTCTCCTGGAAGGGGGTTTTGTTTCAAAGGGACAGAGGTTTGCCACAATTATTTCTCCAACTCAGTTAACATTGTTTCAGATTTTCCTGCTCTTGAGTTTATGGGGATATGACATAGGACCACAATCCTTCTGCAACCATAGTGCTTTTGTCAGATGAAGGATGTTTTATTCTCATAAAAAGGTACTTTGATTTAAGATTACATGCACAGGAGGGAGAGATTACCCTTCCCCACATGCATGAAATAAAAAGAAAAAAAACGAATGCCTTTCTAAAACCAAGATACAACTGTTTTACTTCCTCCTCTTTGTGAAATCTTGGGCATCCAGTTAAGTTCCATTCCAAATTTTTCCAAACAAAACGTGTTCAATAGTCAGATAAAATTACCTTATTTTTCAGTAAATCTGCTTAGCTGATGGTATCTGTGTATCTGCATTTAGTTGAGCTAATTAAAAACAATTTAATACATGTCAGATAGAAACACAATGGACTTGCCTTACTGCAGAAAATGCCAATGGCATTTCAAGTTACATATATTTGAGACACTTTTGCCAAAAGGAGACCAAGTTAAACATTGTAATTGCTATGAGATATCCAATATGTACATTACTCAAGTTCTAGCTTCCTGCCAATACAAAAGAAAAAATTACACCCCAAGTCATATAGCTAATATTGTGATATGAACATTCATATTCATAGTTAGTTAACCGTTGACATGAAATGGCCAGTCAATAAGGAAAGAGGACTAATTTTAAGATTAGCACGTGGACTGCCAAGAAAAAAAACCCAACACCACAGTGCTAAGAAAGGCAGTATCCATGTATCTTAATCTACTCCGTTATTTGCCCATTTATGAGAATAAAACCATTAGCCAAGGAAATCCAATCATAGGAGATGATAAATTACAGGTAGATAACCAAACATGCATGGGCACTATACCCAAATCCTTAAGATAACAGCTTTTCTTTTTCTCCACAAGAACTGAATGGTTTTGATCTGAAAATCATACTTACTTCACTACTGAACACAGTTTATTCTTAAAATATTTTCTTGAGTTTCCAATTCAGTAACATTAAAAAAACCCAACAAACCTTAGTGTTTCTTTTTTCAACCTTTTCTTTATGCTGCTGTAGACAGACAAACATCCCTAATTTTAGTACCTATACCTCATACTGGTTTCTGGAGACTTCAGTATCTTAAGTATAAAGCTGAAGCACAGATATGCATATTTTGTGTTCTCATACATCTTGAGACTACCAACTGATCTTAGCCTCCTAACATGCCAGAGAAAAATGCGTACACAACGCAGTAATAAACATTCAATTGACTATTGAGAGAACGCTCAGATGCAGAATGGCAACTGAAAGGATGAAGGGAGCAAGAAGCAGCAGCCATCCACTCAAGTAAAAGCTGAGAACTATGCTGACAGTCTTGTACAGCAGGTAGCAAGAGGAGATGTTTCTACTATTCAACAGCTTTTTAGAGGTACCCAGAAGCTGAAATCAGAAGCTGAAAGATCTCTCAAATTTGGTTCAGCTTCTCAGAAGTGTAATCAAAGACATTTAGCAAGCTCAATTTCAGATCACTCCTGTTGTAAGAGTATCTCGCTTGCTTAGACATTAGAAAAAGTACAGTTATACCACCTCTTGGTACCTTGCTGAAAAATTCTATGTAATCCGTTGCAGAAATGTTAAAGAAAATCAACCCTGTCATCAGCGTGCTCATTAACAAAACACTAGAGAGGGGGAAATCAAAACAAAAAAATGAAACAAGAAAACTGCTGCTAGCCAGTGTTACTATGATAAACTTACCACTTTAATGCATTTAACTCCCAGTATGGACCATTAACAAAAAAATGCCCTAACATAACTGCTCTGTTAGTTGCACTTTATTCACCCTTTACAACCAAAACATAAAGATGAGGGTAGTTTCCTACAGTGTCCTTTCACTTCTCAGAAAAGCAGCATATAACCCTGAGGTGTTATGATCTGTTTACATCAATCCATCCTTTGGTAGCACACCCACAGGCAATACTGCCATAGAGAGTACTCCTTACTGACAGTAACATAAAGTCCCTCCACAATAGCTCCATTTTTTCAGTCAAATTTACAACCCAACGCAACTCACTCCCTAGGGGATGGCAGGACAACCTGCTCGGGTAGTGCCACAGTCTCAGACTGACAGGACAGGGAATTGTACCAGGTTCTCTTTCAAATATGTCTACACAGGAAAGAAGCTTCAGTCCCAGTTTTCATTTGCTTGTGGATATTAATAACTGCATTTTCTACTGCATATCAGCCTTGAACAGAGCTAACAAGGAGTAATATTTATGATAGGTCACCAACCCTTAAGATGTGTTCTATTCGTCCTCCAGACATTCCAAAAATAGTTGTTTGCAACATCAGGGATCAGTTAAATGGCATTAAGCATTTATTTCCCACCATACTTAAATAAGCAAATAAATAGCCATGTAAACACTTTAAGACTGCGAAGTCTATATGTTTGTATTATTCTTTTTGCATAGCTCAACAGCTGTCAAAGCTTTTTTATAGATGACCTCTAAAGGTCCCTTCCAGCCCAAATGATTCTATGATTCTATGATTCTTTCACAGTATTTTTTTGCCAAGTCCCTAGATTACCACGGGAAGTTCTGTTTTGCATTCCAAACCTATCACTCTGTACAGCACACATGAGAAACTGCTCTGCACTGTATCGCTCTGCTAACCAGGTATGGGGGGGCTGGGGAAGGAAGGAAGAGGAGGGAAAAAAGGGAACGCACCGGTGTTCAAAACTTTGGTTTGGCCCACTTTCTGAACTTACCACTTTTTCTTTAGAGCGCAATACACCAAGCTTCCCAAATCGGACATGAAAAGGAGAACACTGATATGTCCCATCCTGTTGCCGGACCACAATGACATCAATGCATCCTGAAAGGGTTGCCTGATTAATGCCTTTGTACAGCTCCTTCACGGTCACCAGCACTTGTCCTGCAAGTTGTCCTACGTAGTTCATAGTCTGAGACTGTGGGAGAGGAAGGAAAAAAAAATCAAAAAATGTAGAAAGTTTTTTAGAATCAATTTTTAAAAAACATCTAAATAGATGTGCAATCTCATTTATCAATTACTCTGATTATTGTAATAAGCTTTACACAAAAACCTTCAAGAGTCAACAGAATTTTGAGCCAATTCTTGCGTTACTAACAGACTCCAGAGTTATAAAACCTATTTGTAATAGTTTATCAACTTGAATCTATGATTATTTAAAAATTTTAAAGTAAATTCTGAAGCATGTCATTTTTAAACCCCAAAGCCTAGATTCAAGTGACACTTAATTACTCGGATAAGCTAAAAATACAAATTCGTTCTCTGAAGACTGCCTATTTAATACAACTGATGCTCACGAAAATGGAGATAACTCTACATAAGGATGCAAAAAACCCCCAAAAAACTTAAAAGTCAGGAAAAGTTACGCAGAGTGTACTACATGTAACTCTTCCTTTACAGCTGTATATTTTAAAAATGGCTGAGTCACTGTAAAGGAATTATCAAAGCCCCTCTATAAGGAAAGCTCAACACCAGTGAATTTACTTGCCATAAAACAAGTACTAAAGCGTCTTGCAACACAAAAATCAGGAGCTTGTAAAAACCTTTCTTGAAAAGCCCTGCCATCGACCTTCAGAAGTTAAAACTGAGATGAGCAAGACTTCCACCTGTGGTAGGTGATGTCAGATACTCGAAGTTACTGAGACTCTCCCATTAACTTTTGATTAAATAAAACTACAGTAAGTATCATCTACAGTTACAATGTATACTCCTCTAAACAGCTTAATGAAGCTTGTAGGTACTTAAGGTAAAAGAGCTGCTGAGGTAAAGTTTGCTCTGCAAAAACACAGTGAACCTAGGGACATGACCTTGTCCTGAACACACTTCTCGTCCACGAGAAGCAATGACTTACCAGCTAACAACTGTTATTTCCACAGAAATTACACCTAAAGAATAAACACTACATTCCAAATAGTACATTTTCATATGTGAAAAGCAATCCTTAACCAAGTTTGCACACTCATGCAATATATTATTTTAAGTGTAAAGAGTTCTTACTCACTAACTACTTTCCACAGGTTTTACAAGGTTTCAGTCAAGAGAAAACAAATCTCGTACAGCTGTTTGTGGTTGTTTATACTCCTGACATCAGAAAACTGAAAAAGAACAATAAATATGCAGCCTAGGTGAATGTCACCAAACCGGGACAGTGAAGGAATCTTACTAGATGAGAGTGGGGAGTTCAGGACAGAACGCAAGGAAAGGAAGATGCACACACTAAGAAGATGATGCTATACTCAAACAAGATAAACAAAGAACATACAGAATCACTTATCGAACATTCTGTCTAATCCATTGAAAATACTTATGTGAATGACTGAATTTTGCATGACCGAGTCTTTCAGACTAAGAATACAATGTGAACTGTGATTGACAATAAGAAACGAAGTCCAAAGATTTCTCAGAACACCTGAGCTTTAATAGAAAGAGGAAGGAAAACCATGAAAGTGTTCTAATGGAAACCTAAGTGCAACCCTTCCTCAATCTGCCATCTCCCACCTCCTACCCAAAAGACTGCTACAAGCTCGTTTCAAATATATCCAAGCAATTGCATGCCTCTGAAGTTAAAGGTATTATTTGGGAGAATAAAGAGCCATTACAAACAATCAAAACACACCATACTGAACACATAACGAGGCCTAAATTGTAAAAATTCCATTTTGGGACAATATTTCTACAAAAAAAATCTACAGTGAACTTCTTTGTCTATTTGCTAATCTGTTTTTACTAGTCTCTGAACAAGGTTTAGGATTTTTCTTAATGCCTCTAAACAAAATGGTATTGCACTACAAGAGTTCTTCCTCCTGGTATTGCTTTCATTATCTAGGTAATTAATCAACTATTTCTTTTCTGAGCCTTCAAGGTCTTCCTTCCAGTAATGCAGGGTATATTGCATTCATTCAAGGGGAAGCCACTTTTGTAGCATCTAACAGTACCAGTATAACTGTAAACATGCAGGAAATCTAAAACTACTTTCACAGACTTAGAGCAGCTACGGAAGTATTTTTCTCCACCTCAGGCTTCTCAAGCCTAAAATACATTACCTAATCATATTTAGATTTTTTTTGGGGAAAAAAAAAAAAGTTCCTTCCTCTCTACAAGACTTAAAGAGGAAGATGGAGGTTTTCTAATACAGATTTAAAACTGTTTTGAAATTACCCACAGAACTACTATGCTAGGTAACATGCTAGAGAATTTTCTCCCATAGCTTTTGTACAATATGTTTGATGAAGACAAAAGAATAGACTGTCATTCAGTGGCTAATGAGATTAGCAGAATGGACTCTCTATCAACATTAGCAATTAATAAAATTCAGTTCCATCTCTTAAGTAGTTTCATGTACAACTATAAAATGGACTGCTTGCTAATGAAATGATAGCCCACTCTTGCCAAAAAGGGGAGGTCTCACTTCAATCTCTCCTCATCTGACCCTCTTACTGAGCTGATTTTAGCTCACTGACACAGCTGGCAGAAGCCTATCCATTTTTGCTGCTGCTGTTTGTTTCAGTGGGTTACCCAATTAGATTAGCTCAGGAGGAAGACCATGACAAACACCAGAGAGCCAGGAGACACAGCAGCACCAGAGAGCTAGGAAAAAAAAGCTGGGACAGGGAACCAAACATCTTCCTTTTGACAAGTGAGATACTTTCTGTGTCTCGTGGAACTGTAACCCAAAACAGAAAGGTAGCAATATCTCTGCTTTGCTGTTTAAGCAATTAGTCTTCCCCTACAATGACAGTCATCTTTATTCTCAAACTTAGGAGAAATTCCCTAACTCACAGTCATTATCATTCATGGCTGTACCTTGGCTGCTTCCAAGAGGAGTCTATGGTACTGGCTTACAAAGAAAGGTTGATTTCATGTCACCAAGGAGGGTGAGTTTGGTACATGTTTGAAACCATCAGGAATAGAAGTCCTTACTAGTCTCCATTCCGTGTATTTCATTTCAGTGAATGGGACTCGAGAAGCAGACATTAGCAAGGACTTCTCTATCGTTTAAGTAGCGACTGTTTACAAGATCAGAATTTCACACCAACTGCTAAGAATTAAGTTCAGTTGCTACATAATCTAGTTTTCCTCACATACATGCTAACTGACCTTGTCTAACCACAGACAATCACAAAAAAACCCCACAAGACGGAAGCATTCACCAATTTTACATGTGTTCTTGCTTTCCTGTAGCAAAAGTTACCTCCTTTACAGCTCTCAGTTGTATTTCGGTAGCTCATAGCACAGCCACTTTTGTGACCATACAAAACCAGAATAACCTCTTACGTGTGTAAAAGTTATGAACTTTTGAACCTACTGAGTATTAAAAATAATGTTCATAAGGAAAGAAGCCTTTTATGAGCCAAGTCTTAATGCAAACATTGTTTTGTACATTGTAAGCAAACAAAATCGTAGACCAGAAACTAAGGTATATTATTGCTTATCAGGTTGTAGTTCAGTTTTTAATATAACAGTTCACTTTGTAAGATAAACATGTCATTTAAGAAGGTTCAAATTGTAGCAAGCAAATGATCAAATAGAAATAAAGTGTTACCACATACCTGAGAACCATGAGATGTTCAATTTATCTCAAATGTCAATAGAACCCCAGCCAGGAGATTTTAGAAGTTGGGGTTTGGGGTTTTGTTTGTTTGTTTGGTTTTGCTTTAAGATTTATTGTATATTGTTGGAAAACTTGTGGTGAGCAGTACTGAATCTGACTATAGAAAGGAACAGTATAAAATGTTACTGTGTTAATTCTTGCAAATGCAATAGAAATAGTCTGGTCACAGAATAACCAGTAAGACAAAGTATATCCTTGATAACACTCCTTATTTCATGCTTAGAAAACATTCGTTAAATGTGATTGTCCCGAGAGCAGAGAAAAGCGGAGAGCAGTGTGCCTTCATAACCTGCTGTAAGAACCTACAAAGCATGCCAATATCCAGTTCTGCAATTCAAGACAGAGGTCTGATGGACAAGAGAAGCTAAGAAAGGACAATGCAGCAACATTTCACCATACTCTTTAGCTTTTAAGTTTTATTTATTTTGATATCCAGAGTATACACATTACCTGATGCAGTCAAATTCCAGAACTCTGCATAAAAGCTACAGTTAATGTAACTTACTACTTATTCTTCAGGAATAGCAAATTAAAAGGCTATCAATACCTAAGGTCTCACAGCAGAAAAACACTTTGTGACTCTTGAGGCTCCAGAGAGGTGGATTTTTGAATGTTTATGTAATACTACCTAGTTCGCAAAAATTCTTAGAGCTGAATATATTAATACTACTAAGCTAAGTGCAACTGTACTTGGAATGGGGAAAACGATCTCTCTGTCCTGTATCATAAAAAAGATTTTTTTCTGGCAAGAAGCCATTACACTGCAAAAGGTAGAAACAGAAACTGCTTTTTTTGCTGTTGCGTTTTTTTGAGAGAGAGCACATAAAAGTAAATATGAAATAAGAAAATAACTACTTTGGAAGTTCAAGAACTAAAAATAAAATTCTGTGCCTCCAACTATAAAATACTCAAATACATTACATTAAAATTAACCCTGCATATGTTGGTTGACTTCCTCATGTTACAGCAATGACGAACAGAATGGCTCGCAGAAATAACGATTAAACGTTACTACAGTTCAGATTAAGTATCTAACATGCTTTACATGACAGACACCCAAATTTTCAAAACTCATCACCAGGAAATGCTTATGTTAGCATAACTTGAGCAGGAGGTTTTGTGGATAGGAATTATTTCTATGTACCATTAACAAAGACATTATTTTGGCTGCTACAAAAGCAAAATGTTTTCCTGAACCTTTTTTTTATGTTATTCAGTAATATCCATACACAAGTGCAAGACATAATCAAAAGTCTGTCCACAAACTTGTGTTTTCTGTGCATTTGGATAACTGCTTTAGTAAACTGCATTTTTTTGTGTTCTTAAAGCCAACACCTTTTATACAGGTGCATCCATACGAACATGAAACACTACACATGCCCAGTTCAACAACAGAAAAAGAAGAGTGCAAGTTACCCAACGGCAAGCTATTGGATTGCTCCAGAGAGACACAGCTTTAGAGGGCATGAATTTTAACTATCACTGCAGAAAGTTACTTAAATGTAGATCTCAGCTGACAAGAGAGTAGATATTTATACAACCCATTCATTTTGAGATACATTTAGAGGATTAAAAGATAGTCTAATGCCACATGATGTAAACAGTGAAGAAGTTGCATTTCTTTCAAGAGATTAGGCAGAAAAATGAAATAAAAAGCATGCATAGCAATAGTTTCCCTCAATCTATCTCACCTTGCCTATATTTGCATGTATATATATTTATGAGGCAGAAGCTTTCCTTAACCATAGAAAATATTCAGTAAGTGTTTTACTAGTTTTTATTTTGTACCCTGAAATATTGGGGGGAAAAATGACCATGTGAAACAGGAGCACTGTAGCTTCAGGTCTACTCAGCAAAAACAAGCAAACAAAACCATCTTTGCTCCTAAGTAAAGATTTTAATTGGGGTTTAGGATTGCTCCTAGTACTGCACAGAGCACTCATGGAACGAAAACAGGAAACAAAGTTAAGTCTGTTGAATGCCTAATTAAAGTCTTCCACATACTATGAAATATAGGAAGTCATTTTTTATGTATTTTAAGTGTGCTATAGGAAATTATATACCCACACTTAGCAATAAATCTGTCAAACTCACCAAGATTCCAGAAGGAACCCTTTCATGGGCAGCAACAACACTTCTATTGAAGTCATCTTCAAAACCATCCTTTTCTGAGAAATGCATCTCAGAAAATAGGAAACTAACTTTCCACAATACAGGTAAATGCAAAGCTCACAGCCATAACAGACAGTTGTATCAGCTTTTCTTCTCTTTCCATAGAAGCGGAAGAATTATGTAAATCTTCTGGTCTCCTAGAGAAAAATGTGTGGTACACTTTCCCACGCAGTATTATGGTTAAAAAGGAAGCGCTGCTTCAAGAACCCTCACATAGAAACTCCCTCACCAATCGGCTCTGCTTGAAATGTCACAGCCCCCTCGCGCTCGCGGAGATAAGCAATAACACGGGCAGACTTGGCCATATGTTTGCACTGATAGGTAATGATCTTGTTTTACACCAGGCCACGTGACTGGCGCTGAACCTCCCATGAAAAGAAACAGGGATTTAGTTAATGATTCTTAAGCAAAGTCTACATTAGCTCACTTGGAGACTTTTTGCCCGCTGTTGCAACTCTACCACCTGCAGCAGCATCCAAAGTCCCAGCTCAGCCTGCTGCACACCTAACTCCAGACTGCCCGCTCCCTCCGCTCGTGTTTCACCGGGCTAGCTAGTCACGGTTCATAGGGCAAATTTGATGACCGTTCAGGCTCTGGTACTTGTGGGCTATTTGCATCCCCTTTTTGAAATTGCATTATAATAGTAAAGACATAATTGACCTGGTGCCAAGTTTATACTAAACCATACAAAAACAATGCATGCCAAAATAAACATTTTTTTTCCTGTGGAAATTCTCCTACTTTCTTTAAACTCAGTTGTTAAAGAAGCATAATTTAGGTGTGTGGACAATACATACAAGCTTACTGGATACCCACCTCCATGACCGAGAATGAGAATTAATGTTCGATCTGAGGAATTGTGAAGTGTCATTACTTCTGTAAACAGTATCACGGGTAGGTGAAATAACTGAGGAAGTGTAGTACTATCACGAAACAATTCTGCCCCTGAATGGGAGAGACGTTCTCTGAGGACCATTAATATTCCCTCAACATAGACATTCTCATTACCTTAAACCTATGCTTCTCCTCCCAACCTCACGCCGTTACTCTGGGTCTGCTACAGAAGACTGTGGAGGACTACTTCTTGAATTACAGGCTAAAAAACAACCTAGGATCCTACTACCATCTGCACTCTATCCTCCTCTAAGTTTTGTAAATTTATGCATTAGGCTCTGATGCAAGGACAATGAATCACATTATTGGATGCAGCCAAATGGCTTGTAGGTTTCCAAAATAATTCATGAACTACACTCAAGGCCAAAACTAAATCAGTCTTCATGACAAACTCCTAAATTGAGCGTTGGGATTGCTACAGCCACTGTCAGGTTGCAATAAGCTGCTACCATCTCTGGGCCCTTTTCTATACGCTGACTAAAGTCGTATTTAATGTGGCTCTTCACAGGAGAAATTACCGGTTTTGTTAGCAGACATGACAAGTATTTTCATAGGATACTAAGAATTACTAGACACACTCAGTTTTCCTCTGCTTGTTCATCATTCCTTTATCATGTGTGTTTCATTAAAAGATGGTAAAAACCACACAGTTATGAGCAGAATGGAAGCCGGCTTTGTAAGACAGTGCTTCTCGTCAAACACTTTTGACTTAGCTTTATGTTATTTTTTTTTGTGTACAATTTTCCGTTATATCTATTCTATTTCAGTATTGTTCAGTATTTCACGTTGACATTATTTTCTTCAAAAGTTCTACAGGTGGTTTAGAAGACAGCCCTTCCAGAATACAGATAAAATTGCAGTCACTGCAGTAAGGTAAATTTAGACAGGTAATAAGCTCTGCACATTTAGTAAGCCTCCTTGTCTTATATTTCACAATATTAAAAAGGTAAATAAAATATAATTCCATCTGAGTAAGTTTAAGTACTATGTTACTTACTTACAATTTACACAGGAAAATTAGCCTTAGTTTTGAAAATTAAATACCCCAAATTTGGAAGTATTAGAAGCAATGTTTTTCATGCAGCCTTAATCCAGCTCTTTGGTGTGGGTAGACTTTACTTTGGTTTAGCCTCAGAAAGCACATGTGAATTTTTTCACTAGCCTCATGCAAGTTAATACCCCTGACAAAGATCAGTCATCATCCTATGTGCTTTTTTTTTTCCCTCTGCTCTTTCTGGGTCTACACATCTTACCCCATTGCTCACTAGCCAAAAGCCCTGATGGGAAGTATGATTCCATTTTTAAATGGTACTTTTCTACAGTAACCTTCATAATACATTTGACTGCATTCATTTAGTTTTACAGCATCCCAAAGACGCAGTATTATTTTTTACATCTATGCAATGGAAAACTCAGGCCAGGAGACTGGTATTTAAAAATACAGGGGGTTTTAGCACAGTTAAAATTTGAGTTTGCAGAGTTTACCTCCATTTTTTACCTCTTTGCATATTCAAAACATTGCTTCCAAAGGCTGCATTTGCAGAATATTTTTCAGTGCAGCTTAAGTATTTTTTTTTATCTCCAAGAAAAAAAAAAAAGATAGAAAGACAGGAAATTCGAAGTTTATCTGGACTTGGCCCTTTTGTAATGTGTCAGTTATATCTGTATGATCTACTACGAATCATCCGACTCCAGTATGATGGCATCTTTTCTTGTATTAATTTCAGCATTTTCATTCTTTTTCTTTAAGTTACCTTTTTTTCTGTTTACAAAGGAACTTCAGTGAGAACAAAGAATAAGAGTCCATAAAGTGAGTTTTACTGTTAAAATGACTAGTTCGATCAAAAATCTAGGTTACAGGCACACAAAAAGTTCTTATGTAAGTGAAGACATACTCTTTCGAGGTACTGAAAAGAAGAATCTGGTTAATCCACAAGTGCATCCCTTTGGAATCTGCATGGACACCCTCCCCACGACTGCCTGCTACACTTGACATACCTATTTCCAACAGCACAATCTCTTCTACAGCCACATCATCCTTGGCTGAACTTATTTCTAGACACATCCCACAGAAACCAAAGTTTCTGAATAGAAATTCCATCTATCTCATTTTTACATGAGATGAGAGAAAGCAGATGGAGCTTTTCCTGTACGTTTCTAGAGAGCACTAAGCACTTCCCTAATGAGCAATCCCTTATCTTTCTATTTTCTCCATTTAAAAAGGTTTCTTTCCAGGCACTGATCTGCCTCAGGTGTGTTTATATTTTCTTACAACCTTCCAGGATTTAAAAGTCAAAGCAAAAGAACATAGTCATGTATTTAAGCATGAAATGCATCCTGATCTATTAGTGGTGAATAATTTGGTTACCTTTAGAATGGATACGTGAATATAAGATCTGAGACTATAGTACCTATCTTCAGGTTGACAAGAAAGAACAGAAATACACTTATTCTGAGAAATACATATATGGAACATCCAAAAAGTTCTAAATATAATGTATATAAACAAGAAACCTTTTTTTACCTGACAGACTCTCCATATTATTGAGCTGATGAACATGTACCAAAATAGAACAACATCCATAAATTCAATTTGCATACAAGACTTGGCTATTTTATTAGCAAATCAGGTAAAAATGCTAGTCTTACAGAATTCCCACACAAAGGTATTTATAGCATGAGATGCTGGGAAAATTAGATAGAGCTGAACAAAGCAGCATACGCTTACTCATTCGCCAAACACAACCTACTTGCACTATTGAGTTTTAATGAACCCAGAGATCACATCTGTCTGAAGGATGTATCTGTTCACCCCTAGCACACACCAGCATGTCTGCACCGTCTATACGGGACAGGACAAACCCGTAAAGCAGCCTCACAGATTTCTTGTTTGTGTTAACATGCACACTTTGCATTTGGGGAATGAATGGCTTTAAGTCACCACTAAGCAATTTTTTTTTCACATCATTGTATTTCAGTTCATATGACAAACTAAATTCTATTGTTGGCCAAGTGAGAGACAATTACTTCCATTTCTAATGGAATCTCAGCTACAATTCGTTACTGGAAGCACTTCGTTGAAAGAATTTTGCAACGAATTCTTTACGCATTTCCTTTAAAAGGCCTTTCATAACCATCAATCCAGGAGAAGTACATTTCCTGAGGAGACAGTTACGTAGTCTGAAAAAAGGACAAGTAAACTTAAAGATATGGCCGAAGTCTGGCTTAGCACGTGTTGGCTTCAGCCACAGAGACCAACACAAAAACGTCCCCTGGTACACTGGAGACTCTTCTATTATTACTTCACATAGTTACACTTCCAGAATGGAACTTAAGCACTTTGGATAAAGAAATGGGCCAGTTCCTCAGTTAAAAATCCCATCCGTTCCCTCCATATGGATAGCAGCAATGATGAAGTGTCCCTTAGTTTTGGGGAAAAAGAGGGACACAGGACAACTTCTGGCAGTTAATGTCAAATTGCATTACTGCAAAGCTGAAAGAAACTGATAACAATAAAAAACTTAACTAGGAAGGGGAAGCTAGCATCCTTCACTTGGAAATTCCCTTGAAATAGAAACACAAGAAAAAATTAATTTTTTATGGAAAAAAAAAAAAATTCCCCCAAAAGGTTGCTTAAGCTCTGTCCTCAAACACAAAGACAATCTGGCTTGACTTGGCACGACAGTTTCTATTAAATCAGCCTGCCTGCACAAACCGAAATGTAAGCACTTATGGTACTACATACTACAGCGTTTGTAACAACCCAGAGGAGATAGCAGCTAGGCGGAATGAAAATTCATTTAACGGAAACATTCTTTGCAAAAGCAGCAACATTTTTACTGTGCTTGAAGTGGATAATTTTATTTACAATTTTAAAAAACATCTCTCCTTAACTATCTAACAGTGAGATATTCACAGAAATGACATCTTTGTGTTACTGTAGAACCTTAAAATGCAATTTCAATGAGATCAAAAGTTCATAAAGAAAGTATTCCTGATCAGCACTGCCAGATGCAAAAATCATTGGGATACAGTATGCTACTATGTTGTGTTCTCAGAATTTGCCCAGTATGGGATGAAGACATCTACTGCATACGTTTTAGACTTGAATTTGATCACAAAGATATCACCCACTGTTTTGTATAAGCCTGAAAGCTTTTTCACTGTGGATATATGCAACATGCAGCACTGAATCTCACACCAGAAGGTGTCCTTTCATCCCTTTTCAGACAGTTACGTAGAATGTATTTGCAATTCATAACATAAATAATGATTAAAAGTTACTTTATATATAAGCCAAAGCTATTTTACAAAAAAAAAAAAAAAA